GGTCTTGCTCCCTCTCTCCCCTCTTTTCTCCCACTTCCCTATCCTCTCTCACATTCCGCCCCTCTCTCTCTCCCTCCGGTCTCGCTCTCACTCTTTCGCCGCCTTACTCTCTCACACAGTTAGTCCTTTTTACACCATCGCTACCCCTGAACGCACGGACAACTCAGGAAAAGACGTGTGTTGTGCCCTGTGTTCACAGAACGTGTCAAAGACGTGGAACCCGCTTGCGGTGTCATTACATGTTAATGGCATCCCAGACGGGGCCGGGAACATACCAGCCTCTTTCTTTCTCTCTCTCCCACTCCCCTTCTCTTTCTCCCTCTCTTTTGAACTTTCACACTCCTACTCTCTCCTCTTGTTCCTTTTCTCCCTCCTTCTCTCCCTCGCACTATGTCCCTCACTTTCCCTTATGGTAGGAATGAGGGTTGGTTCTGGTGTTCTCCTTGGAGGAGGTGAATCCGCGATGAAAGTATAGTGTGTGGATCTGGTTCCTCTCTGATCACAATAGGGGAACGGCTCATCAGAAGATCACCTCCTGGATATGGGGTTAGGAGCGGCTAGTAAAAGTGATTCTCTCGCTTGGAAATTCCTTTAAAATCTTTATTACACAAGAACATCAGATACAGCCAATGCGTTTCATGGGACAGGCCTCGTCCTTCTTCAGGGCTTAGCTAACGGCTTGTGGAAGAATCGCCACCAAATCTTTTAGCTTGGTTCTCCAATGTGGTGGACAGGAGTCACTTTGAGGGGCTTGAAGAAGTTAAAGGAGAATTCTGAGGTGAGTGATTTTCACTCAGCCTCATAATCTGAGCCGATCTGTGGCAATGAAACTGTCACAGGTCGGCTCAGTAGATCGGGAAGTGAGCGAACACATACCGTCGTTTGCTCACTTCTCGATCTATCCCTGCAGAGAGCCGTGACTGTCAGTCACGGCTCCCAGCAGGGATTTCCCCATGTCCGATCCGCCAGCGCTAACTGGCGAAACAGATGGGGGAGGGGGCGGGCACAGCTGGCTCTGCCTCTGAATAGGCAGAGCCAGCTGTCAATCCCGCAGCTGGGTGGATCCAGACAGTATTGTCGGCATCCGTCCCGGCTGCGGCGTCTCAGTATTCTGAGCTTTGGGTCACAGGGGCCCTTAGGAGAACTATGAGGAAAAACCCTGACCCCGTAGTTCTCCTTTTAATACAAAACGATTGATGCTTTGATGTCCCAATATTAATCTTATGCAATGTTATTTATGTCTGCATGCCTCTCTCTACAGGTGGATCCGTGACATCTGGTCTGGCAATATATGACACCATGCAGTATATCCTGAACCCCATCTGTACCTGGTGTGTGGGTCAGGCAGCCAGCATGGGCTCCCTCCTCCTAGCTGCCGGTTCCAGCGGAATGAGACACTCGCTGCCAAACTCCAGAATCATGGTCCACCAGCCGTCCGGAGGAGCCAGGGTGAGACGCATGCACGGGTGCGGGCCTCTAAAACCCAGATCTATGGGATACTGTAACCCCTGTGTACATCATAGGGATACACTGAGGACGTGTGGGGAAGGTTTAGACCAAGTTTTTACTGCTATGTGGAGATTTGCCTTCACTTCCTGTCTGGTGAAACCATTGTCATCATGACAGGAAGTGAAGGTAGCTCCATATATCCTTCCCCGCTCTCTCCAAAACTAAAGAATCAAATTTTAAACTCCAACTCCCTCTAATCACCATCGTAGAAATCTAATTTTGCTCGGAGATGGGCTTCAAGCATTGAAAGCTCCACCCATTTTAGGACAAACGCATGTCCAGAATAGAAATGTATGATTTCGCAGAGTGCTTTGTATATAGTTATAAGTAGGGATGCACTGATGCCGATACTAGTATTGGTACCGATGACAAGTATTTGGGGCGAGTACTCATACTCGCCCAAATGCTCCGATACCTAGCCCGATACTTGAGCTTCCGGTATCAGGAAGCCGGTCAGTGAGTCATTACACCCTGCCCGGCTTCCTGATTGGCCAGGATGCCGGCTCCATGCTCCCTCGTCACTTGTGACGAGGGAGCATGGAGTCGGTATTCAGGCCAATCAGGAAGCCGGGCAGCATGTAATGACTCGCTGACCGGCTTCCTGGTTGGTTGGGAAGCTGGGCGCCATGTAATGACGTGGCCCCCGGCTTTGATTGGCCGGGAAGTCGGCTTTATGCTCCCTCGTCACATCGTGACATGGCGTCTGGCTTCCTGATTGGCCAGAAAGCTGGCTCCATGCTTTCTCGTCATCTAGTGAGGAGAAGCATGAAGACGGCTTCTCTCCTAATCGGGAAGCTGGGTGGCGAGTCTTTACACGCCGCCCGGCTTCCTTAATGGGACTTCCGGTATCGGAGAGTACTGAAAAAAAAAAATATCGGTACTTGCTACAGAAGAACCGGTATCGGCGCGTCCCTAGTTATAAGGTACAGGAAGGGCCATTGTTGCATGACATTGTATCCAGGTTTGTGATGCTGATTGCTGCGTGTCATTCTCAGGGTCAGGCCACAGATATCGCCATACAGGCCGAGGAGATACTGAAACTGAAGAGACAGATCAATGAGATTTACGCCAAACACACGAGGCAGCCGCTGTCTCTGATCGGTGAGTTGACGTCCGTACACTACATAGGGGGCTTAGGTCCAAGAACTTGAGCAAAGAAAAATATCAGCCTGAACGACTGATGCTACAACAGGAAACGGAGATCGAATATCCCTTCTGCTTGTCTTTATTTCTCCGTCCTCCGGAAATTCCGTGATGCAACAAAGACAGAGGTGACATTAAGCCCTCTCCTATTATGTCCGTTAATTATAAGGTGCGGTGACGTAAATTGCGTGGTGAAATTTTATCTTGTAATTAAACTGGTTGACATGTCATTCCAGGCCAGAGGTTCGGGGGAGCCCTATTAAAACACAAGCACCTTCTAA